TCTGCATCTCACGTATGAACATGTGAAAAAAAGATGCTTCAGTTGTGGAGTTATGTCAAAAAAAAAAATCCGCCGTTCCCAAAAACGCTTTCCCTCCAAAAAATTTCACGTGCCCGTACGTGAGAACAACACGGACCTAAGCTTCCATTTTGAGGATAGAAGCCCGTACGTATTTGTAGATTAAGTTAACAAAGTTTTGGCCTTGTAGCTTTTATGGATCTCGAGATGAAAACTTGTTACAAACGCACATACAAAAACACATACACACAGAAAGCCTCTCGACAATATGCGTTTTTGCATTGCGTAGATGCAAAAAACGCATAAAAACTTGAAATCTGCTCCTAGTAAAGAATTACTCTTCTTACGCTGCTGCTCGTACTCAGTAAAATTTTAATAGTGACCACAGTTTTGAAACTACAGATTGCTGGAAATGCGAGCCGTCTCCAAACTTGTTAGCTGAATGTGAAGAGTCGTTTTTGACCAACGGAAGGCAGTGTGGAACGATACTATCACGATTTGAGGAACGTGGGTATCACTGCATCGTGGAAATACTGAACTGCTTTCCGAAGCATACTTTTGCAGAACACGCAGAAGCTAGTTTTCTCGTTGCACACGGAAGATTATTAAATTCACCAGACAACGATACGTTAGTCACTTAGAATTTGCATCAGCTAGCTTGAATATGCATCGTATAAATTTGCAGCAGCACGAAACATTTTAACTGCAGCTAAATGCAAGGCATGCCAGCATCAGGCAGCAACGCATACACAACATACATGCGCATGCAGTTCTGTGACAGCAGACCGCATCTATCTGTTTGTTTTACTCGGCTACCCGTCAGGATAAATAAACTTCAAAACTACGTAAACTGAAAAGCTAAAATTAGATAAAAGAAAATCATCTGCGGAAAGAAAAGCATTTTTGTTTCTCTATTTTGATGTGCCTCAATATTTCGATGAACAGCATCAGTATAAGCGTACTGATGTATTTCAGAAAATGTATTTTAAAATAGCTATAAAATGACATTAATCAAGCAGCAAGGCATGCCAGCATCAGGCAGCAACGCACATAGTTGCCCTAACGTTTGGAGATGTCCATTAACGTGAGCAACATCGAATCGTCAATAGGACTGTCCAAGTAGTCTTGATAATTATGGTTTTCAGCACTGTTCCTAATTGTTTCAGTTCGTTACGATATTTTCCGTTGACCGGCCCGGATGGGGCGAAGTTGGCTGTAATTCCGTGTACACTGGATGGGATCTGGGAGGCGCTGTCGACGGCGGGTGAACGCTTTGAAGTAAGCACGGTGCAGTGCATCACGTCAGATGTTCCTTCAATGAACCACATTTCTCCGTTTGTCAACTATTTATATCGGCGTTAAAATGGCTTCCAGAAAAAGTATGCTCTTGATGATCGCACGAATTTGTTATTTTTTGAGATTCTGCTGTATCTCAGTGAATCAAAACTGAAAATCTGGATAATTTAGATAATTCAAAGAGCTTACGCACACACACACACATCAGTTAATGAATCTGCACAGTCAAAAAGTGTCAGGGTTTCGTAGATTCCAAAAACTGTAATTTAAATGAATTTCCGTTTTGAAATCGTGCCCTACTTTCGGAATTTTGCACAGCTAAACGCCTTCCACATCAGGCAGAAGTGCTTTATTTTTTGGTTGAATTGTGTCTATCATACCGAACAAAACGATGCGTCCCTTCTGTTTGACGTTCACTACCCGAATAATGTCTTTTGATGAATGAAAAAGCGATCCTGGCCTTCTATTTTTTCTTCGGTAAAATTAAATTTAGCCTTGCGGAGCCTAGTTTTTCTTTTTTTCCATCATTCAGTATTCTGCCCTCTCTAACTTCGGTACGCTTGCTTGACTTTGGCACCACTTTAGTTGGATTAGACTTTTCCACATTCAGTTTATCGTATTTTTACTTTTTTCTGTTTCACTTGGTTTATGACATTTTTAGCAGTTCTAAACTTATTTGATTCATTTGGTTGAATTTTGTGCATAATTGGCGTGCTTTCTATTCACCCTTCAGTTGAGCTTTCTCAGGAAGTTGTTTTCTTGCAATATTGGCGGAGGTTCATATTCCAATAGAACTACAAATTTCGAAAAATTGATGTGGCATGCAAATTGTTTAGCTTAAACTTTGAGACCGAGGTCTAGACTGAACGGAAGGCACGGAAGAGAGAGCATAGGTTTGAAGAGAAAAACAATGAGGGAGGGGGCAAAGAGGGGGAAAAAGAGGATTGGAGTGAGGCAGTTTCAAGCGTATCAGTTCAACCATATTATTAGTGATTTCCTGGGGGTGACAGATGGGAGATGTCATTGTTATTTGCTTGCTCTCTTATTTCGAAAACATCACCAATAAAGCGCAGCTTAAATCCCAGGATCACGAGTGCAATGTTTTTGATCTTCCTTTCATTATTCATTCATTTTTTTGCATTTTGAAGTTCTGGAGAGATTGTTTTTTGAAAGAGCAGGAGAGAGCCTGATTTAAATCAGTGTGATGTCCAGCCCTTTCCAGGATGCATCCCTAACAAATTTTTGGAAAAAAATTGCTACCATAATTCATCGACAATTTTTTTGAAACTCGATTACAGATAAAAATGAACTTTGTTAGCTTTAACCTATGAGGGCTCAAAACCACTGGAGAGCAATGCTGGTTTTTATGGGAAAAGCACCAAGTTTTTTTTTTAAACCCTAACAATTTTTATTAGGATTTCTTCGCCAAGGCTAGACTAGTAATCAGCTCCAGGACAGGTTGTCTACGATGGTATGTGTACTGCTGGAAGCTTAGACAATATGCATGATCACTTAAATGCCTGCACGAATGCAAATGGATGAGCGATGTGCCCAAAACAGAGAATGGAAAAGTTGCCAGCTGTGTCAGTGGCA